ATGGTTCCCCATCCAGAAAATTACTTAATGGCAGATATTGATAGGGTAACCATCATGTCTGTTTAATGAATCCCAGTTTGTTTGTAAATGCATGTCAATGTTGAAACTGTATCTATATATTAATGTATATCAGTATTGTGTGTGGACAGAAATGTCGTACTTTAAGAGTTTCTATATATTTATATCTATCAGTAGATATATATATATATATATATATATATATATATATATATATATATATATGTATACACAAATGAATTATGTGTTAGTAAAAGTGTAAATGTGCATGCACAGATATTTGTATGTGTGTATGTTTCTGGATATATATATATATATATATACATGGGAGTCTGCATGTATAGATATAAACAATTATGTGAGTGTGTGTGCGTGTGTTGAAAAAGAATCTCAGTTTTTGCAATTATGGAATTAATACCTGAATATAAGAGTGGTTTTACAATCGTTACAGTTACAAAGTGTTTTTAGGAATTTTTTTAAAAGGTTATATGAAGGAGACTGCAGAAACTCTGATGTTAGTCATTGGCTGAAATACAAAAAGAATTAAACCAATAAAAGCGCAGGCAAAATTTCACAGATTGATACAATAGAGGCCAGGAAGCTGACCAGGAAGGTGATTGCTCCTGGTTGATTTACCTGAGAGAGGGAGTCTGATGTTTTAGATGCCCAAAGCCCATTATGGCACCAGGAATAAACCTCTCTGGTGAAGCTTCCTGGCCCACTGTAAGGGTGTTTAAGAAGTGTAGCAATGGTAATTAATGAATTCTGATATTTTTTTCACTAATGATATTAACATCTATATTTGTTTTCTTTTTTTCAGGGGCTGAACAGGAATAGAAATGAGCACAAATCATCATCTATTGACCAAGAATTCACTTCTGGAGATGATCCTACCCCTCTCCTAGCAGATGAACCAGAGTCAACAAATGCATCTGGGTACTTGGAACCATCAAAAATTGAGACCCCAAAATATTTGGAACTGATATCAGATAGCCACACATCTTCCCCAATGTCTGAAAAGCAGTCTGTTCGAGGTGCACGACCGAAAACAAGCTCTACTTCAAGTCTACGCAAATCCCCTACAGAGAAAAGTCCCACAAATACCAAAAAGAACAATAATGGCTTCAGTGATCTGAATGGCAAAGTGAAGGGCTCAGGTGGGGCAGCTCGGCGAAACTTCCAAGGGTTACACTATGCGCAATTGGCTACCTGCAGCACTGACTCCTCTGTTGATGAGGATAGTGATGATGAAACCAACAAAGATATCAATTATATCACCCCTCAAGTCAGCATGTCATGTACATTGCTGAACCAACTCCAAAATGAAACAAAACAGCGAAAACTTAGCAAGCAGACATCGGCACCGATTCCTGTGAGGAACAATTCTTTGTCCAATGACATTGTCTGGCTAAACAACAGCTCAATAGATGACCAAAATGCCAACAATTTTCTCTTTCACAATTCATGTGCATCGCCAACAAAACTACAAGTATGGGCAGATAAAAACCGGAACTTGGTCGGGAAGAACTCAAGCATGCTTCCGATATCTGACTGTCCAGAATATATAAATACCTCACAACCGGCTTCCTTGAACTATCCTACTGGACGAACCACAGGTGGTGGGGCACCAGTCTTCAGTTCTCAACCTACCCTTGTTTGATAACATTCAACATTTTTATGTTTCTTTAATCAAAGCTTGTCATATTTTAAATGTTTACACACAAATGCACATACAAACAGTAAGTAGAGTAAGAGAAAAGTATCAATAAATTTTAGCTAGAAATCATCTTTTTAAAAGCTTTCATTTTAAAGCAACTCATTCCCTGTAAGTTGTGTTTAAATCATTGAAAACTGCACAGTCAGTATACAAAAAAAAATTTTTTTCCCATTAGTAAAGTCGTTTCTGTTGGCAATGAAGTCATCTTAAATTATAACAACAGAAAAATATCTTAGAAAATTGATTTTTTTTTTCAAGAAACAGTGAGATCTTTTTAAAGTCCAGTTTTTATTTATAATTTAGCAAAATTGATTAAATTCCATTTGTGTCAGTATCTCAGGAGAAAACAGGTAAAAAATATCTATAAAACAGGTAAAATCCAATGATTTTTCTGTTTTTTTTTTAACTTCAGGAATCAAGATATTTTTCCCAGAGTTAAAAATAAGAGAAAAACTTTTTAAAATTTAAATATCAAATAAAGCAACATGACAAATTTGTTGCTTAAAAATATTCTTTCCTTTATAAATTAAATGGGGACATGATAACAAGGGCACTTTCAATCTAGCCTACCACATGAACGTAGAATACTTGAGACTGTTTCATGTGAAGATTAGGCTTTTGTAATTGATTTCACATTATATCACTCAATTATCATCTACTTCTGATAGCATGTCTGATCTACTACAGCTGGTTGACATGTTGTTGACATACTGTTGACATGTTGCTGGCATGCAGTTGACTTGTTGACATGTTGCTGGCATGTGGTTGACATGTAGTTGGCATGTAGTTGACATGCTGTTGACATGTTGTTGGCATGCAATTGACATGCTGTTGATATGTTGTTGACATGCAGTTGACATGCAGTTGACATGTTGTTGACATGTTACTAGCACTTCTTGAAGTGCAACTGTTTAGCATATAGTGTAATTTTCAGTGATGTCTTCATATAATGGACCTGCCACTGGATTTCAGTTTCACCTATTGTAAAAAAAACAAATCATTTCATGTGTTTTTCTTTTGTTTATTTTCTTGCATTTGTTTTTTTTTCTGCAGCATTTTGGCTGTCTACCTTTTAGTCTTCCTTGCATATCTGTTGCGCTCTTGAATGTTATCACTTCCTATTTTGGCAGCACATGTGCATCTGCACACAACGTCTACCATTTCCTTTCCTCGGTATTCCTGCAGCTGTATCTTTCTGACTTCAAAGCTAGCTTTGCAACTGCTGCTTGAATTTCATATGTGCTACCATATCCATAGTATTTCAAGTTCATTATCTGCTATTTCTGGAGGTTTATAGGGAAAACAATTCCCAAAACACAGAAATTAAAATCTAGATGTGACATGTATGAGAAAAGTGCATGCTCACTGTCACAATAAGATTTGACAGTGTGTTCTAGAAGACAACAGTTACCCAATGAAGGCTGGAGAATATGTGGCTAAAACATTGTGAAAAACGAAGATGAAGGAATTAGACCAAAGAAAATTATAAAATGATCCAAACTAACTAAAATTCAAAGAACCTGAATATTGTATCACATTGCTGTGACATTACTTGTAACAAATAGATGTCACATAATATGTGACAGGATTCTTATAGATGAAAAATCATTTGTAGATCATTTAAAATATTGTCATTGCCCATGTTTTTTTTTTTTTGCTATCTTTAATTTTTTAATTTTTTTTTTTTGCAAACCATCAATTTGTCATTAATGTAAATCATATGAAAATGTCAAGAAATGTTTAAAAACACAAAAATAACAAACAAAAAAAAAAAAAAATACTAATTCTCTCATAAAGTAACATTTTTTTGTTGAAACATTTTTGGTCCAACATCATGTGATATGCTATTTCATGCCCAGCTTTGTACATTTTTGTTGTGGATATTTAATACAACATTCATATGAAGTGGTTCACATTCGTTATCATGTGACAAGTATCACCTTTGACATGGATCATGTCATCACTGGGACATTGTGTGAGGCTCAAGGATTCTGAAAATTGTAAATGTCAGTTGAAAATGAAGAATAAAAATGAAAGACAGCAGAAGAGAAAATATGAAATTTAAAAAAATTAAATATCTGAAAAAACTTGATTGTAAATTGTTCAAAAAGAATATTTAAAAAAAAAAACAAAACAAAAAAAACAAAAAACAAACCCAGCAACAACTAGATATTGCTGGGAAAATATCTGAAAAATTCAACATTTTAATATAAATGGATGCTGGTTACTAATTTTATTTCAGTTATAGTGTGTTTGTATCAGATGATAAAAAAAACAAAACAAACTTTCTTCCTTCACATGTACACATAAATATAAACTTTGTGTTTAGTTGGAAAAAAACCTAAAAGAATTGAAGGTTGTTGACATTTTCATGAGAAAAAAGTAGAGAAAGTTTTTGTGTAGATTTTTTAAAGGTCTGTGTTGTTTAGTTCCACTATTTGATACATCTTTAAAAAAAAATGTTATTTATTCAAAACAGTGCAGCTCACTGCACCTACCCTGATGTTGCCTGGCAACACTACTCTTCCGTATCTTTGTAATTCTACCCCCGACACCCCAACAAAAAAAAAACAAAAAACAGTCCAGTGCTAATATCATATCTACACATAACTTGATTTATGTAAAGTTTTTCTTTGTTTTTTTTTTGTTTAATAATACCAGAGGCTAAGTTTTCAGAAGAAAAGCCATATGAAATGAATAAGGCTTATGAAAAAGAATTTTAAAAGGATTTTGAATACCCAGTGAAAAAATTTATTTTTAATGATGGTTCATTTTAGACAGCTAAATGCAGATTCATAAAAAACAATATCAAAGCCATTTTTCACAAAAAAAAAACTGTCTTCCTACTAATATATATATATATATATATATATATATATATAAAGAGTGTTTCATTAAGATGGATTATATATAAGGGTGTTTCATTAAGACAGATCAAGCAGAAAATAAATCAGTATTATTTGTGAAAATTTATTTATTTCTCTATTGGATCATGTTATTTAAGTCATGGCAATTATGTGTGAAAAATAATAATGCCCAAATGTCATTAGACACTTAATTCACATTTAAAATCAATCCAAGTTATTGGAACACCTTTTTATATATATATATATATATATATATATATATATATATATATATATATATATATATAGTTTGTGTATTTGTAGATTCATTACAGCAGAGGTAATTCTTTTTAAATTATAGAATTACAGAACTTATGCTTTGGAATTTGATGGCATATTAACAAATATTTAAAATTTAAAATGCATCTACCCTCAGACACATATAACATGTCACAAGAATAAAATTAATATCAGTGAAGTAATTTCACATATAACAATTAATAACAATTAAAATCTAGTCAAAAAACTTATTTGAAAACAGGATATGCATTTCAAATCAGACATAAATTTCCTGTGTGCATATAAGTGTGTGCATTTATAAAAGTTTAAATCTGTCTTGTATATATATATATATATATATATATATATATATATATTTCATTGAATAATATAGATATATTATGTCTATTTATTTTTATATTGATCATTTCCAGTTCTCTGATCAGTTTCTTGATGTTAAGATGAAATTCATCAAGAAAGATGCTATAGCTTTTTTCTACTCAAGTACTTTCAATCTCTTTCAAGATCATCCTCAGGGGTAAATTAGAAACTTATTGTAACTAAGATAAAATCACCATCACAACCAAATGCAGATTTTATCACAGTTACAATAAATTTGTCTTTATAATTTACCCCTGAGGATAATCTTGGAGAAGATTGAAAGTACTTGGGTACAAAAAATCTATAGTGCCTTCCTTGATGAATTTCATCTTAACATCAAGAAACCTATCAGAGAACTGGAAAGAATCAGTATAAAAATAAATAAATATGTCTATATTATTCAGTGAAACAAATTTGAATGTAAATATGGCTATATATATATATATATATATATATATATATATATATATATATGTGTGTGTGTGTGTGTGCATGTTTGTATGTTATAATGTATATGCTCTGGTACAGGGACCTTTGGTTGGCATTGCTAAGCATTTTTGTTATTCACATTTTACGTCCCTTTGCTGTGATTATATTCTTCTTCTGCCACTGAGCACTTTTTCGACACACTTGTTAAATTAAGTATGATTTTTCTCCCAACAAATATCAATAATCTTACGGCTATTCTATTCTCAGCTATATGGACATTCCCTCCTCAGAGATTTTAGCTGGTGTTCACATCATATATATGTATTCAACAAATGCCCATATTATGAAACCTTAGCTATGGCCGAGGAGGAAACAATATAAGAAGGTCACTGTGTGTCTAATGCTGACTGCCTGAAGAAATTATGCATAAGGCACAGGAAACTGATAGTTGTAGTCAGTAAGACCTACAGTGGAAAATTATGATACTCAAATATATATATATATATGACAAAATAGAATTCATATATATATATATATATATATATATATATATATAGGAATTCTACTTTGTCATACATCTTCCACCAAAATTGTTCTTGATATATAAAAATTATATATCATTATCCCATATATATATATATATATATTTGTATATATATATATTTGTGTGTATATATATATATATATATATATATATATATATATATATATATATATAAGAATAAAAGCTGAAGCTTAAAATAAACTTAAAATATAAATGAAACTAAGTGCTCATCATAATGCCAAACAAGCTGGATATTATATCTGCCTGATGATTGTTATTGCATGAAACTTTGAGTAGCAGATTTTGGTATTACTGTATATTAGATTTAATATATATATATATATATATATATATATATATATATATATATATATATAGTTAAATTCCCAGATAATTCTGTGACAAAGACAGATTGGTATCAAATGACAATTGGAAAAAATCTTACATATATATATATATATGAT